ATGTCCTTGGCCTCAGATGGTTCTGGACACGTGTCCAGGAATTTCGATGAGATGGCGTTTCAAAACCGGCCCAGTCACAAAATTGGTGAGGGCCGTAATTGGAGCTTGCCTGACACCGGTTGAACCACGTGTGACAAACACACATACTTTGACCGGTCCCACCTCCGTCTCAGGAACAATTCAGATGTCAAAACGGTATCATGATCGTGACAGAGACGGAGTTTTCCGTCATGGGAAACAATATGGATGCCGTTCCGCTCCTGCCCGAGTGGTGGCTGTGTGCAGTCGGTCAGACAGCTCTTGCAGGCGGTATGAGATGAGTTGCTATCAATGAAACACAATCATAAAGCTTCATTATGAACCGTTATGATCAAAAATGCGGAATTAGACACCGCCGGAAACCAATCTCTCTAGTCGCTCGATTCCGTAAGTTTACGCGGCGTGGTGCCGCTAGGCGACACGCACAAACGAGGTCCTTTTGTATTGCTTTCACTCGACATGATGAGTGAATAAAAACTGAGACAACACCATAAGAAACCCCTGTAGGGGAGGCCTGAGGCCTTTACAATCTAACTACTCTATTTTATCTCAACATACATTATATTTTTTAAAGGAACAAAAATCTTCAAAACAACTTTATATAAACTAACATTACTCTTTTAATCTAATAAGCCTCTATTCAATAAAAAATGTAGAAAAATAAAAATTTAACTTCTTCTCTTTTTTTTTTTTTTTTTCAATTTTATAAATGTTTTTAACTTCTTCTGACGTAAAGAATTTTTTGTAATAAATTTTTTATCTTGATTCACTAGGTGTGGGTGGGTGGGAAGAAAAAATAGACAAACGACAAACTAGAGTTTTATTTTCTCAGAATTATGAAATAACTAATTCTGCTGAGTGAAAATTTTGAAAAAAGATAGAAAATTTTTTCGACATGAACAAATCGAAGATAGTGAACATGGAAATTGTTTACACTTTGGTATGTTACCTAGATTCAACATTCTAGAGTTCTAACTTGCCCCCATCCTTTCTTACCAGAACTTTGGGGGCGCCTGTCTTCACTTCGTTATCTTGAAATTTCTCCATCTGTCGATTCTTCGTAACTTCAACTTGACCAAAGACTTTTTGTTGCTTGTCTCTTGATATCCGACTCTGCTTATTCCACTTAGTTAATGGGACACCAACTTCGACTATTGTTCATTTTGCTAACCTCCAATCATTGTTGAATTTTATGTGATTGAAACTCTCAAAGCAATTGATAACATGATTGCAATGTAAAATAACCGATTGTTCTCACTTGTCCTCCTCACAATATACTGAGACTAATCTGTTGCTGATTGAGCAAATGAAGTGTAATGATTTTTTTAAAAGCATAAAAAAAGAAAACACACACAATGGTTTGGATTTAATAAAAGAGTAGATTGCAACTATTGTCTCAGTCACATTCAAATGGATTTGCTTCCTGATCGAGAGAAAGAAGTGTAGTAACAATCGGGTTTTTTAAAAAACAAAAGAAAACGATTCTTTTTCAAGAGAAACAAAAGAAAAAAATATGAGATGATTTGAATTTAATCAAAGAGAATGAGATGACAACTCTCTTCTCTGTCATATTCAAATGACTTTTCTTTCTGATCAAGTGAAAGAAGTGCAATGTGAATAACAAAAGAAAAAGATATTGAAATTGATAAAACCATCTTGATCCATGCTTTTTGATTGACATGAAGTGTAATGATTTGGTATTTTTTTAAAAAAGGAACAAGATATAAGATGACTAGAACTTATAAAATGATCTCGTTCGATTGATTTCTGATCAACCGAATGAAATTTAAAAAAAAGATGAAACAAATTTTGAAGGTTTTTTGAAAGCTCTGACAGTTGCCGTGGTTGAAGACACCTAATTGATAAGGCGCTGATGATAAGATTTCATTGAAGATCTGATAGTCGGCGTGGGTGAAGATGACATGTTCCCTTCAAGGAGCACCTTATCAAGTCGAGGTTGAAAGCCAGCAACAAGCCTTTTAACTCACCTAAAAATCATTTGTCAACCTCTTTATCCAAAGGGAAATTGTGAAATCAAACCCTACCTCTTTCCTTTGTTGGTGTTCCGGGCTCGCATAACAAAGACTCTACAAATGCAGCACTGGTGCCAGTGGGTGGTATCATTATAATGAGATGTTGTGATGAACTTGAAGATGAGCAACTGAATCGGAAGGAAAAATCAGAATTTTGCTCAAGTTTTTTTTTGAACTGCAAGAAATTGGCCTCGATCAATTAAAAAAAATTGCATCCACCTGTCAAAAAAAAATCTGAAGTTGTTGAGGTTTTGTTGAGGACGTGGAAATGAAATTTGTCCAAAAAAACACAAGTTCCATCCACCTGCGACTCACCTTGACTTACACACAACTCATGTTTCCCAGCTCTCAACGTTATCAAAGGAGCCCAGTAGGATCCAATTACGATCGACTATCAACATCCATCATACCAAGGACCCGCTCAGCGTCTGATGCCTTTGGGATGGACAGCCGCCACCCAAACACCCCTAACCTGCGGCACCGCTCCTCAAAGAATGGGCCCATCCAGAACAAAAGGCGTAAGTACCTCTCTTACTATATGTATGATCTTCACTGACATCATACACTGTTGTAGCTTTTACAGATGGATCATGAAGTACAACTCCCGAATCTTACCAGGCAAAGAGACCTTTGAACATATCAAAACATCCAACAACATTCAGATTATGACCCAAGAGGCCTTAAAAGAGTGGATCATTCAAGGTGAACCACCGTTAGCATGATAAATAATAATGTACAACGACCCAAAAACATGTAAAGGAAGAATGATTTTGAAGACTTGTGTTGCTTCTTTCATTGACTTCTTCATTCATCTGATTTCAAGTTTCTCTAACACCTTTTGAAACTCCTTCATAACCTCTTCAGCAGGAAGATCTTGTAGTTATTTCCTACCTACTACATACAATTTATCTGGCTAAAAGCATGTTTTGTGAAATTTGGTCCTTTAAAATGAAAGAAAAAACAATCCCATCGATGCTTTGTAACATTCACTGCGTTTGTATCGTTTCACCGTAGCTTTTCACCGCAAAAGCGGTGGAACGATACCGTACCTGCGGCCCTCTGGCTGATTCTGTTCCAGGCCAGGAACAGCGAGGCCACGTGTCAGTCTCGTTCCGGCCTTGAACTCACTGTTCCGGGGACATATCAGAACTTCCCTGGAACAGTTATTGAAATGGTCTCGGGCGGTTTCCCATCCAGTGATTCTTCCGTCCAGGACAATCCTGTTCGGTCCCCGCTGGACACGCTCTAGGCACGTCCCAAATCAATAGAAAAGTGACACGTGCCTGTGACGCTGTCGAATCAGGTTTGGGACGTGCCATTTACCCCCTGGTGTATTCAATACCGCAAGAGCACCGCACTATGTTGCAGTTGTGGTGCGGTTGCGTAGCGCTTTTGGGCGCCGCAATAGCAACGCAATATAGTGCGGTGCCAGCGCTCCGCAATCCGGGTTCAAAAAACCCCTTGGTCAGAAACCCGCACCGCAATTGCGGTCGGTTTTTGACGGTTATTTAGGGCAAATATTGCGGAAATAGGGCAATATTGCGCATTTTCCGCAATATTTGCCCAACCGCTCCGCAACGGCAAGTTACAAAAAAAACACCCCATTGCGGAGTGGTTGCGTAGCGTAATAATGCGCCGACTGCGCAACGCAATGGAAATAGGTCAAAATCCATTGCGTTGCGTAGCGCTTGCGGTGTTGGTGTATTCTTTGCTATCAGTACGACCACGCCTTAGGAATATATATGTATAAATATGAGATCTGGCATGTAAGTTTGACAGATGTCACAATTAATCTCAACTATACTACCGGGCGCACGGACCATCTCTCAATTTTGAAAACGAGTGGATTTCAAGACTTTTGAAATCTACTGTACACCGATTGGGAACATCTCGGTCCAAATGTATTTCACTTTGAATTCACCTGAATCATACACCAGGGGGTAAACTTCCTTGGCCTCGGATCGTTCTGGAAACGTGTCCAGGAATCCTGTTGCGAGAACCAAGACAAAGCGGTTCCGGTAACGAAATGAGGAGAACCGTGTGACAATCAGTCATTTTCACCGGTTTTTGTGGGTTCAAAACGACCAAAAATCATAGTCACAGATGGTATGAAGGTTGGTCAAGACTTGGATGAGACAATACCTTGACCCAAGTGCAACCATCTGGTTGTGATGCGATGTGTTTGACCTCGTCATTCTTTGCTCGGCTGAGCTGTCAATCGATGGGTCCAGCACTCTTGAATACAGCCTGCTTTTCGGTGACTGCTACGTGATGGCAGCGTTTCTGTTCCGTAAAACCTGGACACCTCCCGGACACGTTCCAAAACAATTGAAATGTCGTAACGTGTCCGTAACGCTATCGATCCTACTTTTGGAACGTGTCACTTACCCCCTGGTGTAGACGGTTCCAGACCGCCCCCTTCCCTTCCCACCTTTGTATTATACAGTCATAGTTTTCTTTTCCCCGGCTAAAAGGGGGCGGTCAATCCTCACAAGGGGGGGCTGGATTTAGTAAAATCCTTCTTAAATCAATCATTCTCAAACCAATCATCTTGTTTTGAAAGTGATTGTTTTGAACTCAGTTGTTATCAGATCAGTTGTGTTCTTTGCAAACTGATTCCTCTCGAGTGGATGTTTGTCTGATAAAAGAACAATTTCCAACCATAAGTTTTTGAAATCCCAAGTGTGAGATTTGCAGTTTTTTTACCAAATGCACAATAGTGGGAATGAGGTGTTTCTGTACTGTACATATAAATATCCAAGTTCAACGGCTGCAACGCCTAAGTTTCAAAGTATTAATTGTGAAATCTGACACAAAGGATATCATATAACTTCTAAAAGTAAAAAACATTAATCAAGCAGAGTAAATATGTAATTTTCATAAAATGTATGATGATCTTCATTAGGTTTTTTCCATCAGCCACCAAGGTCAAAAATCTGTGGATGCAACAAAGCTAGCCGAGTCTTTACCAATCTTCCCTTCTCCCATGAACAAACGAAAGTCTTCGGATTTGATGGGTGTATCTCCTCTGTTCGTATTGGACCAAAATAAGGAAATCAAATTCTTAGTCATCAATTAAAAGCTTGAGGATTAGACTTCTGTAAAAACTTTTTACTTACGCTGCATTCTCATATTTCATAACCTCAAACTGAATTCAAAATTGGTTTCGAAATTCAAAAATGTTAATCAATATTTCGAATCTCCTTAGCAGAGCTGTATATTGGACTGAAGCAAAGAGACAAAGAAACGATGAGGTTTAAAACTTGACTGACCCAAGAAACGGCCTTAAGAGTAGGAACAGCTTGAGCCATTTCCTTTGACAAGAGTTGTTGAACCCATTGATACTTGATATCGTAATCCGAAGCACCTCCTGAAGCTGGTTCACCGGTTTCCTTTGATCTGGTATATGATGCTCCAGTCTCAGCTAACACAAAGGGCTTGTATTCATTGGGTATCGAAAAAATCTTGGTGTGTTTGTAGTCAGTTGAGCTTAATTGATTGATCAAACATATATTTGAAGTGACTTGCGAGAGCCACTGGTAAGAGAGAACTAGACCTACATCTGCAAAGTACTTCATGGTTTCCAGTGCTTCGCCTGGCTGAGGCGCGAAATTAAGACGAGCATGACCTGTAAATTTTGATAGAAAATTCTAAGCATTAATGCCACACACTGATAAGACTGTTATGAAAAACACGACTGAGGAGGCTAATTACCTCCATAGTGATAGAAAGAAAGTCCTAAGGAAGCATAGACAACAAAAGATGGTACATGATCATTATCCTTTGAGTTTCAAGTTGAGATCCGTCGAGTCATGAAGAATTGTGTTTACCTATAATGTCCACGTAATGTGCGCCAGGCCAGTATAGATTATAACCACCAAGAAGTTCATCTATGTGACCAAATTTAGAGTTTGGAGCCCATAACAAGTCTGTTTCACTCAGAATAGACATATCACGCATAAAAACAGTCTTGATCAGCTGGGGTAGTGGACATCAAGATGTCTTCTGGATAAGCAAGCCTACATGTGTTGTCAGTTTGAGACTTGACGGCATCGAACATCAGCTTCCATTTCTCTATAAATACTGAGAATTTGATGGAATTAGCTGTTTGGATATTTTACAAGTCATAAGAAGAAAAGGGTATTCAGAAAAAATTATCTACAATCAGGTTGTAGTCCCCATTTATACCAATCACCGTTCATCTGAATAATGCGTAACAGCCAAAAGAATTGATCAATACGCGAAAGAGATTACACTATGAAGGAACAGAGAAGACCAACTTCATGTGCAAATCTTAGCCAAACTATAACACCTTGTTCGTTGATCGACTTCATTTTATTGGCAACCTTTTCGGCCTGTTTTCAAGATTTTAGATTGATGAAGTTTTCTAAGTGATCAAAGAGGGTTTGAATGTAAACTACGTACGACTTCTTTTGTGACCATCTCCAAACCTTGGTAAGGCATCAAAGCGATCTGCCATACTGGATTTCCATCTAAAGATTGTATAGATTCGAGATGCTAACCTCATACATCGTACATCCAAGTGATCCAAGAAAAGAGACAAAAGAAGGGACACGAGACCAGAGAGATGATAGTCAGATAGTATACTCAAATGATTTCGAGAAAACCATTCGTCAAAGTTGCTTAGAACGAAGTCAGACATGCTTACAGAGTCTATTTGTGATTGATTTGGGCCATCATACTCTAGATTGATGTAGTCCCCCATCTAATACGATGAGCAATGTCCAATCGAGTCAAGTTAAGACTCTGAACAAAGGTAATAGATACTTGATTGAATTTACAGCCTTGAAGTGAAACCACTTACGATAGCCATCGGTGCTGGAAGCTTTGCATTGATTTCATTCGGAGTGTTGGGTGCAACTGATTCCCCTAAGGCAGGAAGGAATCCGATTGATATTCCGTTTCGTTTTAAGTTTGATGGACTCAATCCCATCAAATTTCCATCGAAATTTCTTCGATGAAGACTGGCTTCCGCTGAATGATGCTTATCCTTTGTGGGATAAGCTGAAATGAGCGCGATTGAACATATAGACCAGGCGAGTAGGACGATATTCATCTTGAAACTCAATTGTCCCGTTGCCCTTCTTTCTCTTTTTGGTATGTTGAAAGGAATGTGATAGCTACTGATCAATTGGATCAGAAAGGTTTATAAAGATGCCAACAGGCGTCATTTGAAGCCAGTCAAGATGCCATATGTGAAGGAAAGCAGAGATATTGGCATACCTGAATCCAACGCTACGAGCTTCCAAGAGAGCTTGGTATTATCGTATCAAGATTTTGTTTTACCTATTTTAAACAGTAAAAAGAGAGGAAAGATTGGCGAAGCAATAGCTACAGAATGAGTCAAGGTGTATGCAATCCGAATGCCTTATATATATGTCATGGACATCATACAGCCCGCGCTGTTCGCACCCTTGTTTCCTGTGTTTACCATTCCTATTCCTAAGAAACGGATCAGAGATGTCAAGACCGTTTCGAATGCGAATATTATCTACCTTTTGCCAGTCGACCCAGACAATTGAAGCCTAGATTTGGCTTATCAAGACATCAAGATTTCTTTGTCAATTATTATTCGGGACTCTAATCAAAATCGGAAGGTGATATACCCGGCAACCTTTAAGATCTTCAGATAATTCGGAGGCATTTTATAATATTTTCGACCGACTGACAAGTCGCAAGTCGCAAGTCGCGAGAAATGAGAAAGTGTGATGACGATGAACATGATAAGATTGAAATTGAAGTTCAATGCTCAAATCAAGCAATTCAGTCTTAGCTAATTTTTATAGCTTGACCAGGCTTGACCCCCCTTGTTGTACGAAGTGAATAAATATAAAGTGCTCGCAACCCACTATTTCTATTTGCGAGAGTGAAAGGAGATGACAGAAAATTTAACCCGTCACAGCGATCATCAACTTTGGCTTCTCAGAAATGAGCTGCGATGAATGTGGCTACTTTCTCTGAGTTGCTCATAGGCCAGGTGTACGCGGAGTGATTGCTTAAAATTGTTTGAGGAAGATGGAAAACATGGGTCTGTACCGCCTGCCGACCGTCGACTCAGCGGCCTACGGACCGTCGATGCGTCAGCTCAGATACAGTGATGTTCTCAACTTCGAGCGACATGATCGGGGTGCTTGAGTGATCGGATCGGATATCACCAAATCCCTTCCACCACTTCAAGACCAACCACTTCAACTTCAGCTTCAACCTCCAAACTTAAACCATTCAGCACAAAACCACGACCAAAATGTTTAAAAAGTAAAAGTAATTTCATCAATCATAACCACTTGACCGATCCTAACTAACCAAATGATATTGATTGATTCATGAATTTTTTTAGATTTAATGTAAAAGAAGATTTATCTTCAAATACTACATTAAAATCTTCTTCACAAAGAACGATTCGATTAAAATTATCAACTCAAATGCCTTATCTTTTACATCCCATCAACCAATCTTCTGAAACAAATACAACAACACCAAGTACGACAGCAAACAACACGAATCCTACAAATAAAACCGATGAAGTCGTTCAACTTACTTTACTAGACTTACTTTGTCCAAAAAAAGAAAGTTTAAATTTATTAAAATGGTAAGTTGATCATATTTTCTCTAAAAAAATATTAGAAAATTTCACTAATCGATGGTTTTCTTTTTGGTTTTTCTTCGTAGTCGTGATCATGTTTCGATTTTAAGTTGTAATGGACAACTTTTATTCTTTCAACACTTTGATGGACCATACTTTCCAACCCTAAAAATCTTACACAAATGTAATTCTTCAATCCATCCATCATTCCATCAGCTTCCTTCCAAACTTTACAAACCTCAAAAACTGATGATAAATTCAAAATGATTTCTTTCACCAAAAAAAAAAACGATGAACAGATCCCCAACTTTTACCAAAAGTTCAAGTCGATAGAGGAGCCATCAAATTCGTCTTAGCAGGAGCCAACATAATGTGTCCAGGACTAACATCAGCAGGAGCAAGACTTCCAAATGATCTACCCATCAATGTACCTGTAGCCGTTCATGCAGAAGGAAAAGAATCGGCTTGTGCTATTGGTTTTACTCAGATGAGTGGAGAAGAGATGAAGAAGATTAATAAAGGTGTAGGGGTTGATAATGTACATTGGCTTGGTGATGATCTTTGGTGTATTGATAAAATTTAATTCGATTGGTTTGGTTTGGAAAGCTTGGGTGCTATGGTTTACAGGGTTTCTTCATTTCTTGGATTTGAAAGATGTTGAAAGAAAATTAAATGTGTTTTATGTTTTACAACAAGATAATGAGAATCATGAGAGTGTACATAATTTTTTTAAAGGTAAAGAGATGAGTGAAAATTCAATAAAGATTACAATCTTGATTAAATCGTTTTTTAAAATCATCAAAAAAAATCAATTTGATTGATTTGAATTGTTTTTTTGATCATAAATCCATTTACGAATCTCAGTACTACTGATCTTAACCTCTTTCATCTCTTGATCCGAATCATCAACTTGATTATCATTTGCATTAATCATTAAATCAATAACAAACCTTTCTAAAGTATTAAATCCATTTTTCAAACGGATTTCATCAATTTGATCAGCACCCGATATCGTTTCATATGAAACGATTAAGGCTTGAATGTTCGGATCGCTGGCTGTTGGTCCGTACAAATCTTTTAATGGTACGGTGGAGATTTCTAATGAGTTTTGAGAAATTAAATTTATAAAGTTTTGAACTGATCTGGTACGTTCTTCTAGTGTTTGTAATTCTGATTTATACTTTTTGTTAATTAATAAATTATCATCTATTTAGGCGAACCAAAAAAGATAAATCAATTAAAAGATTTCAATGAGTTTTCATTTTTTGGATTTCTTTAAATCCTCATTTTGAGAGTTTAATGCTTACCTGTTACACCTACAATGATTTTTTGATTTGATAAAAAACTGGCCATAGTTAATAAGATCTTATGACCTGAATGTAAATGATCAAATGTACCACCTAAAGCAACTACATCAAACTTAGTTTTCAGCCTAGATTTAATTTCATTGAAATCTTTTATCTTAACGGTTATATCAATCAAAGGATTTGAGATTTGGGATTTAAAAGATTCAGATTTTAAATAAATCGTAAGTAATGAGCTTTGTAAACTTTTAAAATCGATTTCGTTTGGATTTGATTCATGTAAGTTTAATTCGATTTGAATTGATTTGTTCGCTGTGCTTGTGCTTGTGCTTGTGGATTGGTTTATGATTTCTTGTAAGTTTGTGATGAATTCTTGAGGTAAGAGTTTGGAGTTTAGGTCTGATAGGTTTGAATTTAATTTGATGATGATTGGGTCTTGTTCATCAGTCATGACTTTCGATTCCAGAGGTTCGTGTTTTTAGGATGTTGAAGTTGAAGTTGATGTGTTGTGAACGAAGTCAATGTTAGTAAAATGATATGGCGAGGTTTATGAAAGCGATTGAACTTCAAGAGTGGACTGGGTTCAAGTTGAGTCTCAGAATTGTTTCGTATCGCCATCGGATTTAAATCTGAAAGGTCAACTCCAATTTAACTCCGATGATATCTTTCACCATGTTACCATCCGATGGTGTAATCTGAAGAACTCTCACCATAGCACCCCACCATGCTCGATTCGATCAGTAGCATAACTGATTGATCTTTAAAGATCTATTCCTATCTGCTCTTCAGCTATCACTAGCGACGAAGTATGCTTGTATCTCAAATCCACAACTCGGCTTTCTTGCGCTGTACTGAGTCACAATGTCATATAAGGAAAGCTTGGATTTCGTTCGCTTGAACTTGCAGAGAAGTGTCAAGATTGTATCACGTAAATAATTTACTTGCTCAGCTCTCCTGAATGCTTGCTCCCCCGTCACGTGTGCTTGTGAGAGGCGGATGTGAGTAGCTTTACTTGCACTTGTGCACTTATCATTTGATGTCTACGTACACACTTGCTTTTTCCATCTCTTTTCATTCGACTACATATTTACAATCAGCAATACTATGTATGTACATCAGGTGAAGAAAGGAACATGAGGATTGTGTCAAGAGAGACACAAGTGAATTGTTCAAGCCATTGTTTAATCATCCAAAGTACGTATCACAACATCCAAAATCGCTTTCAACTCAGCTTTTGACAATCTTGGAGTTTGCTCCAAAGTTCTCAAAAGTTCCCTTTGATGTCCTTTAACCAACTCACGTTGTTTCTTTTCAAACGTAATCCAATCCCATTCCAATGGATTCCAACCATGAGTTTCTTCCAATACTCTTGAAATTCCAATCTTACTTGTCAATTTCCTATGAAGTTCTTTGGCTTTGATGGTCGTACGTTTGAAACCAACCGGATCTTTTTCTTTTTTGGCTTTTTCCCATTTCATAAAGTTATGGGTATGGATCATAAGTAATTCGATTTCTTCTCTTGTTAAATTCTTGGTTTCAAAATTAATGGGTTTAGGAAATTCTTCTTTTTTAATTGGGTTCGTGACTTGATTCATTCGAGAACGTATTAAAGGTCCACTTTTTTGTTTTAATAATATTGGACCAGTTGAAGGTTTTGCTTCTAATGAGATGATACATTTTTCAGATGTGGTATTTCAAAAAAGGAAGGTCTTATAAAGATGATAGTTACTTTACTTACGTGATTCGGATCTGTTATAAAATTCAAATCCATACCAACTTGTAATCGGTTCATGATCTGTAGAAACTTGGAAAATGATGTGCTCAGCACGTTGGTTCGTAGGTTCTTTGACAATAAAAACATTCTTTTTCAAACTTTCGGTTTGTTCTGGTATCGAAGATCTTCTGATGTCTTGATTCGTTGCTTCTGGTAAAATGAATCATTTTTCAGACTGTATTCAAAGAAATCAATTTAGTGGATAAGAACTTACTGGGTACAGATTGGGTATTACTACCAGTAGTAACAGCTGCGCAACTTGGAAGTGGTTGGTGTTCTGTGGACGCTTTAGAGATAATGTGCTGAGATGATTGTCTCGTGTGTTCTGAACCTGATGCTCCTAGTAGGATGAGAGATTATTGAGATGAGATTTAAATACATAGTAGGTTGTGGAAAGGATGGGTACTTACTTGGTACAGATTAGCGGTACACAAATATTAAAACCCGCATGCAAACCCGCATGAAAAACCACATGAAAAACCCGCATGGTTTTTTGGTTTTTTCATGCGGGTTTTTCATGTGGATACCCATGAAATATTTGAGAGCCCCACTGTCCGCTACTGTCCTATTCCCCTCAAACATGCCTAGAATCTCGACACGTTGGAAGGTCTTGTCATCACTTGATACCTCAATTGCTCTCACATCCTCCACACCCTCATCTTCAACCTTTTCGCCTTCTTTCCTTCCCACTTTATTGGCGTGTTTCACATTAGTTTCTTTCATGGATCACAGCGATGAAGACGAAGACCAATCTAGCGACGGCGACGAATTCGGATATCAAGCACAAATCTTGCTCTTTGCTTACATTCTCATGGTGTCGTCTACCTTGGGTCAGTTTGCCCATATAAACCAACGCAAGCGGAAACGGGAAGAAGACAAAACAATCCTTGCAGCCCTATTGCTCACCCGAGATGAAGCTCAAAGACAAAGGTATATTCTACCTAGATATCGAAGGCCTCGCTGTAGCACCAAGGAGGCTATGTTTCAAGCTTGGTTTGCTGAAACTGAACGCACTTGGATCAGTGTGGTAAGTTTTCCTACTTTGCTTTATTGTAATGACTCTTTACGTGTCATACTCATCATCCTTCTTTGATACTTGTCTTAGGCACGCATGCCAAAGGCCGACTTTATTAAATTACTACACAAAATAGGATCTTCGGCAGTATTTCAAAACAATTCCTACTATAAACAGGCCCCGGTGCAGTGGCAGCTATTGGTCGCGTTGGCAAATTTCGGATGTTCGGGAAACGGTGGTTCAACACCGATAAAGGCCAAGCTGTTTTCTTTGGCTGGTAAGTCCAAAAAGAACCACTAGTATCAATCACTCTTACTGATTTTTCTGATTTGGCCAGAGGGAAGTGTAGATAATTACACTAGGCGCTGCATTCACGCCATACTTGAGCTAGAGGCGGAGTACGTACGATGGCCGGATGCGGCGGAGCGAATCCAGATCAAGAATTGAATCGGCCAAACTTCATTTTTTAAGCAGTGTATCGGTTTCATCGATGGGACCTTGGTGCCTTTGGCCACAGCTCCTTCTAAAAACAAGGAAGACTATTACACTCGAAAATCGATTTACGCTTTGAATTCAATGATCATTTGTGATGATCAGAGAAAGGTGCTCTATGCACATCATGGTTGGTGTGGTTCTGCACACGACCAACGCGTACTGAAATCTACTCGGGTGAGCCTTCCTTTTGAAGCCAATACTTTCACTTCTTGTTTTGTAAACTGATTTTACTCTTATTTCATATACTATTTGTACACAGTTATATCAAAACATGGACTCATACTTCGCTGAGGGGGAGTATATCTTAGCCAACTCGGGATATGCCTCTACACAGCATATCGTCCCGGTTTTCAAGCGATCACATTACCATCACCTTTCACCCGCTCAAAACCACTTCAACAACTCAATTTCCAAAATCCGCATAGCATCTGAGCACTGTAATGGAATGTTGCAATGTCGTTTTGGATCCCTACACGAGTTGCGACTAGCAATCACCAACACAAAGGATGCGCTGTATGCATGTAAGTGGATATCAGCGTGTGTGGTGGTGCACAACTTCATGCTTGTAGATGGCTCGCCCATGGAAGGTATTAATACCTTAAATACATCAGCTGATACTTCGGAAGAAGATGTCGAGGGCACTCCAAATTTCCAGATGACTGGGGTCCAGCGCCGTGACACTTTATTTCAAAGCTTTTGTACATTGAACAATTATTGAGTTGTATTATCTTGTTTATAACAATTTTTTTAACTTTAAAATAATTGTGTCAACTATTTTTGACTCTTGATTGGTCTAGAAGAATAGCAACTTTGGATTACTTAGAAACACGTACTTATCAAATAAAAGCACAACTCTGACTTTCTCACATATAATGTAATGAAGTTTTTCATATCAATTTGGTTGACTTCACAACTTAAAAAGACTTATTGAGCATTTCATTTCATAATCACAATTTAAAAAAGATCGCAAGCACATCAAACAAGAAAAAAAAAACAAGAGGTGTTGTCGAAATAAAGACCATATCGAAACTTTGTTATAGGTAAGAAGGTTTGGGGGATAAATTTGTTTTTTAAACTTTCAGCGGTTATATATATAAAAAACGTCTTGTTAGTTTTTGAAAGGGAAATCTGGAGATATCAGCAAAAGTATCAATAGTCTTGCTAAAGATAACTATGCGACAGATCACACATCTTTTTTTTTGTGTTTTGTAAAACTAAATCATCATTGACGCCATCTTTAAGAATGGTATCGTTTTCGGTGGTTAATCTGAAATGAGTTCTATTTGCATATCCAAGTAATGACAAAGCTTAGTTTGAACACCATTGAATCGATTTGACACAAGTCTGATGTAAGATCTGAAAACATACATCCAGTCTTTGTAATGTACATGTTCATTTTGAGGTTGAGGCTTGATTTTGAGAGGAATCGATTTCAGGTAAAGTACGATAAGCCATTTGTTCTGCTGCTGTTGGGTCCATACCACGCCCTAGGAGATCTACAATCATTTGACTACGAGCTAAGGCCCGTTTGGTATTCATTTCCTCAATAGCTAATGATCTTTTCATTGCGAGCTCTTTGTCACGATTAGTAGTTATCATTGTTGACATCGATTCAGCAAGTTTCATCGTAAGGTTTTCTTGGGTGCGTGCTGCACGTTGTTCAGTCTTGATTTGTTCTTCTTTTGTAGTTAGACATTTGACTATTGAATTAACCCCCAACATATCTTGAGGCGAATGATTTTCCGGAGTAAGTAAAGGATCCTTAGTATCCTTACTGTTGATTCGACGACGTTTAATATTTGGTTTTGCAAGTGTAGTGTTTGGGTTAAGCTGACGGACAAGAGGCTTCTTCTTCGATTTGTTTTGTAAATCTTGATGTTCAGTAATATCCATCGACGTCTGATGTTGTAAAGAATGACCAGGGGGAGTTTCGTCCCAATCATCTTCGTAAGGGGTGGTGGCCTCGCTCAGATCTTGAGCCAGATTGATTTCAAAGTCTTTCGCCGCAGTCGAGGTATTTAGAGAGGTCGATGGGTCAAGTTGATCACCTAAAGAGTCCCTCACAGCCAAAGGATTGGCAGAGGGCCGATCACCCATGACGGGCTCGAGTTCTTCAAACCAAGGACATTTACGAAGAATTCTCTCTGTAGAAGTAAAGTCAGTAAGAATAATGAAATCAATGATAGTTGAAAGCACATACCCTGAAGACTTCCTTGATTATCATCTTTCTTAAAACCTCCAGCTCTCTTAGCCAATTTGAATTCTTCGAGTTTGTCCTTGGACAGCGTATGTTCAAACTTTTCACCGTTGTGATTACCCTCCCCAGTTCCCTTTCTCAACTCGTTAGCGTCTTTGAACCATCGTTCCAACGACTTGATCTATATAATGCAATGAAACAAAAAGAAAGTAACGAAAGAAGGATGATTAGAAAAGATAGTTTGAGCCTACATGCAAACCCCACTCACCTTTTTTAGGCATTCTCGACCTGGTCTGTTGAGATGATTCTTGCTAGCAAGAAATTCGGCCACCTTTTCGCAAATCACAATTTGCTTCTGGGTGCGCCAAGCATTGAAGTTTTCATACACACTACACCATTCCGCCACAAGATCCATGTCCGACTTGCCATCTTTGCTTTGAGGAATCAACCAGCTTCTTTGATTAGGTTCCGGATCAATTGACTCGTCATCTTGTGTTTTTAAATCATTTTGATTTTCAGAATCTGAATCAGGTTGAGATGGACGAAGCGATGTGTCAATTTTCGGATTTTTTTGTTTCGAAGGTCGTCCTCGAGGCCTCTTAGGAGGGTTAGGAGTGGCCGTAGGAGGTGTCGCTTGATTGTTCGATAGTGGCATCAGAGCAGTAGAGATCGAATTGAGTTGTTGTAGGCGTAACCAGTCCGATGCGGAAAGGGTTGGGATTGTGAAAGTCGTTGAAGGTAAAGCTGCAGGAGCTCCACCGATGTTTGCTCCAATAACTGGTTGAACTAAGCTAGTTGAGTTGGTGGGAGTAAATGTGGGCGTGGATCCAGAGTTGATTGGGGTACGTGGGGATCGTGGGGATCGTGAGGAGGGGTTATTTGACTCCATACTGGTTTTTTTTCACATGTGGGTTTTCATATCACCCAGCCTATACCCACATGAAAAAACCCGCATGAAAAAACCAAAAAACCATGCGGGTTTTTCATGTGGTTTTTCATGCGGGTTTGCATGCGGGTTTTAATATTTGTGTACCGCTATTGATCAGTACGACGAGCAAAACCAGACCAACTTGAAAGTGGTTTATCCTCTGTAGATACATTGAAGATCATGTCA